CAAACAGGGTGAAAGGAGCCAATCAGTACAAACTCAGGCTGTCTTATCTAAGTGATATAGGAGAAAGATTAGTCTAAAGGAATGAAAGATCTCAATTATGAATCTTAAAAATACACCGAATTTAAAGGCTTGATGGGAAATAGCAGCAGCCAGCCTGTGGTGGGGGTGGTGTTCTTTCATTGGTAGACCTGGATTTTTTTAAACTTGATATTAGATATGGCAGGACTTCGAAAGTGTTTTAAAAGTTCCAAAAGTAGCTTAAAATATTTCACTTAAAAATGTCATCTGATGTTGAAGAGGTTATACTGAAATGAATTGTCTCAAATGAATTGTCTCAGTGAATTGTCTCCTTAGCCTGTTGGGCTACAGTAATGGTGTCTTCAGCTTAATTCAAAGCCTGAAATACAATAATGTATCTACATTTAAAAATGTGATACTGAATCCATCTTTTTCCTCTTCAATCTCATCCATACTAAGGCAAGGTGATTTTAACAGAACCTATCTCAATAGCTGACTGGAACATTGTCAGACTCGGTCCAGATTCCTAAGGAAGACGGCCAAGGCCCTGTACAGCCCAGCCAGGGTCCTCTCCCCTCAGCTGCCCCTCCAGCTCCAGGGACCCAGGCTTGCCTGTCCCAGCCATGCTGCTCAGATTAGGGCCTCCTCACCTGGGTGGACTCAAAATACTGACTTCAAGTGTCTATTTCCCCTGGTCTACCTACCTGTCTGACTCTCCCTCTTCCCCAAGTAGTCTACTCTCTTGTTGGTGAAAACTTTGTTAACATGTAATATTTATACATACAGGGTACAGTATTATACACACTCATCCTGTAGTGATAAAATTCAGGATAAATAGCAGTTCTGTCTCCTCAAACATTTATTGGGAACTTCTGGGTGTCTTCTAGTTATTTTGAAATACAATTCTAGTGGCTCATGCCTGTGATCCTAGCTACTCAGGAGGCTGAGATCTGGGAATCGTGGTTTGAAACCAGGCCGGGCAGACAAATCAGTGACACTGCAGAAAACATTAGACCTGGGCTCTGTGGGGGCTGAGCTCCATCACTCCAAGCCACACCTCCAATATCTAGCAGAGAGCCTGGTCCATGGAAGATGTTTAAGTTTCTCTCAAACGGAAGTAAACTGAGCAGAGGTGGGACTGGCACTGGGGAAGAGGGCTGTGGTGTCCCTGGCGTCAAAGGGACCTTCTGATGCTGGGGTAGCATGAGGGAGGGATGCATGCCTGCTGCTAGGAGAAAGGGGGTCCAAGCCCGCTCAGAAGTCATCTCTTAGCTGGTGGCATGTTACTGTGGGAGAAAGGGCGAGTGGAAAGGACGCTCTAGCCCTGAGACTGGCAGACAGCCTGCCTCCATGGGACATTTCAGTGAGTGTGGAAGGTGCTGGTAGTCAGGTGGAGACATATGAAATACAGTGCCCTAGGTTTTAGGTCCTATGAGTCTGGGTCTTTTGTCTTCTTGGGAGAACGGATGCCCCTAGTGGGTGGCTGAGTTCTGCAGGCAGCAGCCATGGCTGCTGGATCCAATGCAGGAGCCTCATTTCCCAACTGAGTCTTTGGCAGCCTAGCACCATTCATTATTCACAAATAGAGATGAGTGTTCAGAATGAAAGCTTAAATGCTGTAAACTGGAGCTGCAGAGGATGGCAAGGTGGCTCAACCTGCCTCCTTTCCCTCTGGAAACATCCTCTTAGGGATACAGTGCCAAGATATGGTGGGTGAGAAATGAGTTTTCATGATACATCAAAAAAAAATGCATCTTTCAGCTGGGTGCTGGTGGCTCACACCTAGCTCCTCAGGAGGCTGAAGATCTGAGGATGATGGTTCAAAACTAGCCCAGGCAGAAAAGTCTGTGAGATTCTTATTTCCAATTTACTACCAAATAGCTAGAATTGGAGCTGTGGCTAAAGTGATAGAGCACTAGCCTTGAGCACAAAGAGGCTTATGGACAGTACCTAGGTTCTGAGTTTAAGCCCAAGGACTGGCAAACAAAAGAAAATATGAAAGAAAGAAAGGAAGGAAGAAGTCTCACCTACAAGTAAGGAGGTGTGAGACCTCGGCAGGCCTGTGATTCAAGCCAGGTTATTTCTATCCATCCCCACATGTGTACGCATGAATGTACACATGGTAACATGAATGGATGTGTGCACACTCACCCTCCCGGCATCCAGCAGGACTTCCGCTTCTTTCAGCATTAAGGGATTTGTCCGGTGTGCTGTGGTCTGGATATAGTTTGAGTGAGTCCTCCAGGGTCCCTGTGCTGGCAGCTTCATCCCAGTGTGGTGGTGCCTATAAGAGGTGGAGCCTGGCATGAGGTGACCAGGCCAATGGAGGTGTCACCCTCAGAAGACACCAATAGTTCTCAAGTGACTGGGGACAGATCCTGAGAGAGTGAGATGTTAGAAGATCAACCGTAGAGGGTGGGCTGTGTTGTGTATGTGTGTGTGTGTGTCTGGCATAGGGACATTTAAGGTGAGGGGGACGGGGCCCTTGGCAGGGGCAGGGGGAGAGGGGGGAGGGAGCCTTTTAATCCTTCCTGCTTCCTGTTTTGTCATATGATGTATCTCTTGAATGTGTTCCCGCCAGGATGCTATCTGCCATGCTGTGGTGTAGTTGGAAGGCTGTCATTGGAAGCTAAACCAGTGCCCCTACAACGGTGAGCTAAATAATTGTCTTTTCTTTCTATAAACCCAGCCTGGAGTATTTTCAGAAAATGGACTAAGGCAGGGCTCCCCCCACCCCACTTCCTCCCAGTGGTGCTTGGTATTTAAACTCAGATGTCTCAGGCTTGCTATGTGTTTCTGAATGACTGGTCTCCTGGTAGATGGGGAGGAGTGAGCTGCATTCACAACTGGGAGATGATCCTGTGACCACAGTGTGAAACCCTGCCGCCTGGTTTTCAGATTCCTTGCGTACACCTCTGGGGTACCATGTGGCCCTCCAAGTCTCTCCTCCCGCACTGATCCTCTCCTGATGACACCCTGCCTGGCTCCCAGTGTCGGAAGGGCAGTGCCTTCTTTCCTGAGCAGGCTTGCTCTCTTCTGTGTCTTGCCCTTACAAGCATCTGTTACAGCACCTCATCCACCATGTGTACCCTCACAGAGGATGGACCTGGGCCCGGCACTGAGAATGTGGCACCCAGAGGTGGGCCTTCCGAAAGTCATGCAGGGAGGTGTGTGGTCACCGCCATTTTCCTTGTGAAGCTCCTGGGGTCACAGAATCAAAGGTCAGAAGTGGGATTTGAACCTAAGTCCCCCAGAGGACTTCCAAGTTCAGAGCCCACTTGAAGGTCACCTGGTGGACCTGGTGGAGGGGAAGAAGGTTGTGTCTGGCAGAGGGAAGAGTTAAGTGGGAAGATGAATTCCAGAAGATCACTCAGCACTGGACTGGGTGAAGTGTGTGCTGAGGGTCAGGGTGGAGAATGGGAAGAGGAGGCCATGAGCCCCGTGGAAAGAGGTTGGAGGTGCTCCATCCCAGCAAGCTGGTACTGGGGTTTGAACTCAGGACTTTCTAAGCCAGTATTCCATAGCTGAGCCATGCCTCCACCCTACATTTTTTTCTGGCAGTACTAGGTCTTGAACTCAGGGTCTGGGTGCTGTCCCAGAGCTTTTTTGCTTAAGGTTAGCTAGCACCTTATTGCTTGAGTCACAGTTCTACTTCAGGCTTTTTGAAGTTTAATTGAAGATAAGAAGCTCACAGACTTTTCCTGTTTTGGCTGGCTTTGAACCAGGATTCTTCGATCTCAGCTTCTTGATTAGCTAGGATTATAGGTATGGGCCACAGTGCCTGGGTCCTGTGGATGATCAATCAGCTGTAATCTGGCCACTCGGCTGGAGGAGGGAGCCCAGCTACAGAGATAGCTCAGTAGGTGTCCTGCCTCTACCACTTTTCGCTGTGGCCTTGCATCCTGACTCTTGCCCAGGCTGGCCTAGAACTCCTGGACCACAGTGATCCTCCTGCTTTAGCCTCCCCAGTGCTGAGACTACAGCCAGCCATCACCAGGTGAGCTCTTCACTGAATAACAAAATGTTTTGAGGGTGAAAACTCAACCGATTAAAAAGTTCTTCTCCCAGCCGGGCGCTGGTGGCTCACGCCTGTAATCCCAGCTACTCTAGAGGCCGAGGTCTGAGGATCGCTGTTGGAAACCAGCTGAAAGTTCCCGGGAGACTTATCTCCAATGAACCACTCAAAAACCAGAAGTGGCGCTGTGGGTCAAGTGGTAAAGCGCCAGCCTTGAGCACAAAGAGGCTCGGGGACAGCACCCAGGTCTTGGGTTCTAGCCCCAAAACCGACAAAAAAAAAAAAAGTTCCTCCCGCACTCCCGCATTCCGAGTCCCTGTCCGGAGACAATCCATCCACCATCGCGGTTCGGCTGCGCAGAGCTCCCGGAGCAACTTAGAAAAGAGCAGAAGTAAGGCTCCGCTCCCAGCGACTTCCGTTCCCGTTTTCTGCCCTAATGGGTCTGTGCGCTGGCTCCGCGCCGGCCCCGCGGACGCCTCGGCCGTCCCTCGCGCGGGACCGGGGCAGGGGGCGCCCGGCGCGTGGCTGGACGCCAGGGGCTGGGCCACAGCGCCCCCGGCCTGCGGGAGAACCGGGGGCGATCTGCGGGAACGTTCCAGGGCGCTCGATCGAGGCCGCCACAAGCTCCCCTTTGCAGACTTGCCAACCGCTGCGGGGGGGGGGGGGCAGGGGAGAAAGCGGAGGGCCCAGCCCTGGGGCGCACGGTTGGGGAAACTGAGCCCGCTGCCGGGGGAGGGTCCGCTTGCCATCCCGCCGCCCGGGGCCCCGCCCCAGGCCCCGCCCCAGGCCCCGCCCCGCCCCGATCTCTCCTTGCCGGGACTTGCGCCGGTCCTACCCCGCCTCGGGCGGTCCCTCCCCCCCCCCCCCCCCCCCCCGCCCGCCCACGGGCCGCCCCCTCCCCCGGGCGCCGTGCCCGTCCTCAAGGCCGCCCGTCACCGCTGCCAGGCCAATGGGCTGGGCCGAGCGGCCGCGCACACTCGCACCCGCCGCTCCCCGGGTCCCCGTCCGTCCCGCCGCCGTCGGAGCCGCCATGCAGCCCCCGCGCACCGCGCTCCTCTCGCCGCCGCGGCTGTGGCTCCTCCTGCTGCTGGCGGCGCCTGGCTGGGCGCTGCCGTCCTGGGCCGGCCGCTCGGCGCCCGCCGCCACCGGCCCCGCCGCGGGCTGCCCCGAGCGGTGCGAGCCTGCGCGCTGCGCCCCGCCGCCCACCGACTGCGAGGGCGGCCGCGTCCGCGACGCGTGCGGCTGCTGCGAGGTGTGCGGCGCGCCCGAGGGCGCCGCGTGCGGCCTGCAGGAGGGGCCGTGCGGCGAGGGGCTGCAGTGCGTGGTGCCCTTCGGGGTGCCCGCCTCGGCCACCGTGCGGCGGCGCTCCCAGGCCGGCCTCTGCGTGTGCGCCAGCAGCGAGCCGGTGTGCGGCAGCGACGCCAAGACCTACGCCAACCTGTGCCAGCTGCGCGCCGCCAGCCGCCGCTCCGAGGCGCTGCGACAGCCGCCCATCATCGTCCTGCAGCGGGGCGCCTGCGGCCAAGGTACTGCGCCCCGGCCCGGCCGGCTCTCTATCCCGGCCCTGACCCGTGCCCCAAGCTGGCTCCGTCTCCTCATCCCCACCCTGACTGCGCCCCAGGCCGGCCCCATCTCCCCATCCCTGCCCGGGCCTGTGCCCTGCGCAGGGCGGGAGCCGCGAGCACCCGCTTGCTGGGAGAGGAGGCCAGGTCCCAAGGAGAGAGCGTCCTGCGGGATCCCTTGGAGCCGAGCTCGGTTGAGTCCAGCCGCGAGTGGGTTCCGCGTGCCTGTAGGCGCCCAGCGCGCGTTCTGCACAGCAACCCCGGGAGGCAGTGCCGGGACCTCCCAGCTGGTGACCGGCCTGGGATCACAGATCAGGACAGCAGTGTAAACAGACCTAGGAAGGAGAGAAAGTCTGGTTTGGGGACCACAGGAACTTCTGTTGTGCTTTCCCTTCTACTTCTTTAATGTATTCAAATGTAGTTTCTCCTCTGTGAGAAATAACATTTTGGAGAAAGGAATAGTCTGGCCAGTTGTACTCTCTTCAGATGGTGGCCCCAGGTGGCGACCGGTTTAGGGAGGCTTTGCAGCCTGTCTTTGTTTCTAGAGCCAGCCCTACAAAACAAAGTGGTGCCCTCTGTCTCTCTGTCTCTCTCTGTCTCTCTGTCTCTGTCTCTCTCTCAAGTAGCTCTTTTTGAATTAGCTCATCCTGGGCCTCTGGACCTTGAAATGTGAAGAGGCAGAGGAGGGGCAGGTTAGGGACTTGGAAGAAATGCGCCACTTTTCCCTCTTCTGTATGGCATCTCTGTCACAACCTGTGATCCTTTCTGGTGGGGAAGTGGTGGTGATGGGTGGAGGACTGTGGAGAAATGCCCAGCCCATCGGGGACCTTCAGGAGCCCTGCATCTGGCTCTGCAGAGGTGCCCTGTGGAAAAACAATAAGGAGTTCAGCCCCGGCCAGCCTGGCATCATGGGGAGCGGCCAGCCAGGGCTTGGCCTCAGCCACAGAGCTGCTGCCCAGACCCAGAACTGCTTCCTCAGTGGAGACAGGGACACAAGAGCCCAGTCCTGCAGGACTGCCAAGACTTTCTTCAATCCAAATATGGTCCAGCAGACCACCTAGGACCTGGGACAGTTTGGCTCCCATGAACAGGAAAGTGGCAGAGTGATGGAGAGATGGGACATTGTGGGATACTAACAGGGGAGCATAGCCCAGGCTCAGCCTAGCAATCCAGATGCACACCTACCAGCACTAACCAGATGGTGCTATTGGCACAGTGTGCCCAGTGAGTTCCCCTGTTTACCTCAGTGGGTCTTTATAGACTCATGGATAGGAAGATTCTGCCTCCTTCCTGTTTCACATGAAATGGAACTAAGATTGAGTCACTTATATTTTTTGTGACCATGCTGTTGCTGGGCTTTAGCCACATCTCCACTTCCAGCTTTTTGGTGTTTAATTGGAGATACGAGTCTCATGGCTCTTCTTACCATGATTCTTGGATCTCAGCCTCCTGAGTAGCTAAGATTATAGGCATGAACCACCAGCACTAGAACTGAACCAGGGTTCAGTACCAGCCCAGGGCTTAATCTCAAGGCTGTTGAGCAAAGAGCTTCCCAAGGAGCCAGTATGGGCCTCCTGTTAGGGATGGTGGAGAGTGAAGGACAGCACAGCAGAGTCCAAGGCTTGTATTGGTGGTAGGTGCTGCAGGAGACATTTGGAGTAAAACCAGGAGTTAGCCAAGCTGGTGGCTCAGAGTCCCAAGGCCGAGGGCAATGGCTGCGTTGTGTGTACAGGTGTTCTTGAGTGAAGAAAGCTTAGAAGAAGCCTGGTGCAGGACTAACCCTAGCAGGGGTGCACAGTGCTTCAGGATGGGTGTTCAGGCAACTGTGTTTCTGTGGGCGATGATGACATTAGAAAAGCATATTTTGGTCAAAAAACAAGGCATCTGTTACTGTCTGTAGTCTCGCTGCACGAGGTCCTAAGTTACTGGAACCATGTAAACTGTCTCATTTATTGCCAGCGAAGGAAGTAAAGTCACTTAATGAGGTCTGAGTTGGCAGAGTCCAAATACTTGGCTGGTTGAGCTGGCCTGTGAAGAGAAACAGGTCCCTCATTGGCCAGCAGGCTCCCAGTGCCCCCTGAGTGTGCTAGTGTGAGGAGGACACAGAAGAACGAGGGTGCTGTTGGGGTACAGAGCCAGTCCACCTGTCTGTCCTGAGTTCACAAATATTATTGAGCCTTCTAGTGTATCCCACATTGTTGGTGAATCTGTCTACTTGGCACTTAGAAGTTACTCAATAAGTATGTGGGTAGATGAGTGAATGGATGGGTGGATGGATGAAAGAAGAAACAGGAAAACAGGGTGCCATGGTTCATATCTGTAATCCTAGCTAATTAGGAGACTAAGTCCAAGAAGTTGTTGATTTGAAGCCTGGGCAGAAAAGTCTGCGAGACTCCATCTCCAACCAACCAGCAAAATGCTAGAGATGTGGTTCTAGCAGTTAGAGTGCTAAGTTATGAGCAAGAAAATTGAGTGCAAGTATGAAGCCCTTGATTTCAAGCCCTGGTACCAGGACCAAAAAGAAAACAGAAGAGAAACTGCCTCATCCTTGCATAGCAGAAGGCATTGCGGCGGCACCCCTCACTCCCCGTCTGGTGCTGGGCTCTGACTTGGAAGAGGTATTGCCAGGACCCGAGGCTGGGAACCAGCAACTTTTCTTCCAACCTCAGTTCTATTCCAGCTCAGCAGCTTGTGCACAGGGCAGGTAACTTGATATCGCAGCTAGCTGAGGACTCCAGGGTGAAGATTTTGGCTGGGTGGATCCTGAGGCCTTTCACGAGATGTCCTTTGAGGAGAAGAAGAGGAGATGCAGACTGAGAACTGAGAGATTCTGAGCAGAATCTGGGCAGAGGGTGAGGAGGCTGTGTGTGTGTGTGTGTGTGTGTGTGTGTGTGTGTGTGTGTAGGACCACTACAGGAGGTAGGGAGCCACACTAGGAAGTTGGGGTGGAGGAAGCATGACCATTCATAATATAACGCTTTTGTCTGTGTCGCGAGGTTGTTGGTGAAGGTCTCCAAAAATGTTTTGGGAATGAAGGCATGTTTTTGATGTCAGGAATCAGTGCTGCTGATGGGACGTGGGAAACTATACTGTATCCCAGAGAGTATAAACCTATCAGCATCCACTCTCCTGAGCGGGACAGTTTAAAAAAACAGAAGCTGGGCATGGTGGAGCACACCTGTAATCCCAGCTAGCACTGAGGCAGGAGGATTGCAGGTTTGAGGCCAGCCTGTGCCACATAGCACATGGCAAACCCTGACTTAAAGCATTAAAAAAAAATAGCCAAGCATCAGTGGCTTGCACCTGTAATCTTAACTACTCAAGATGCTGAGATCTGAGGATCACAGTTCAAAGCCAGCCCAGGCAGGAAAGCTCATGAGACTTTTATCTCCAGTTAACTACCAGAAAACCGGCAGTGGCTCTCTGGCTCAAGCGCTTGCCTTGAGCTGAAGAGTTCAGGGACAGTGCCCAGGCCCAGAGTTCAAACCCCTGTGACTGACAAAAAAGTAAAAATAAATTAAAAAATGGAGAGAAGAATGAAAAAGGAAGAAAGGAATTGCGATGAATAATAGGGTAATAGTAATAGTAAGGTCTAAATGTACTAGTTCATGCTTATTAAGTGCCAAGCATGTAGTTCCCAGTTCCTTTGATCCTCCCGCCAGTGCTTGTGCTCTCGTCTTTCCCGGGTAACAGATGGGAGACAGTCACAGAGCAGCACCGATTTTAGGACTTGAACCCATGCATCTGGTCCAGAGCTTTGTTCACAACCACCCTCAGTGCTGTTGACACAGCAACGGAGATTATAAGCCAACTCCTGCTAAGCCTCGGCTAATACTGGAATAAACAGTGCTCCAGATGGCCGAGGATGGCCTTGAGGCGAAGCAGGACAGAGCCCAGCTCTTGCTCGGTGGATGAGCACAGCATCTCAGGACAAGGTTACCGGCTTCCATCTGTGCAGTCCTGCCACGGAGAGCAAGGGGAGAAGGGGCTCAGTAAAGACGTCTCCAAACCAGAGTCCCTTGAGAAGGGCACAACCCTTCCAGATGCCCAGATGTTCCCAAAGACCAGCCAGGATAAGGAGATGCTGCAGAGCTCTGCATGGACAAGAAGCCAGAAAAGAGCCCTGGAAAACACTCCCCTGATAGTAGGACCCTTGTCCATTCCTCCCACTGTAGGAAGGCCCATCCTGTCCCAGACAGATGTCTGACAAGCCTAGAGGTCAGGCAAGGATCAGTGGAGGACACCCAGACACTCCCTGCAGGGAGGTTTCCAGTAGCCCCAGAGCCTCCACAGAGGGGAAGACCACAGAATAGATAGCTTATCTTTGGAGGCTTGGACTGTTTTTAAAACCTGTCTTGTGTAGGTGATTCTATTATGCAAGGTTTGGACAAGTAATCATCTCTAGTTGAATACCTGTTGGTCTCTGGGGGTGTCTCCCTGTCTCCAGGGAGTTCATGTTTTAACCCATTGGGACATATAGTCACTCACTACCCATGGGTCACATTGTTCTTTGTCACATGCTGTACTTGCCCAAAGTCATTTCCACTAGTGACAGTTCAAACCCATCTTTTGTCACTTAAAAAATAAGTGTCTGGGGACCAGGCTTCCTCTTAGGGCAGGGTTGGAAGGGCCAGTCTTCAAGTTTCAGTCATCTGAAAGTTGGAAGCAGGCAGTCTTGTTTGTTTGTTTTTGGTGGGGGTGGGATGGGATGCTATTCTTGAGCCGTGAGCTCAGGGTCTGGGCTCTGTCCCTGAGCTTCTTGATTGCTAGTGCCCTACCACTTGAGCCACAGCTCCACTTTCAGCCTTTTGAGGTTAATTGGAGATAAGAGTATCACCGACTTTGCTGTGCAGGCTGGCCTTGAACAGCGGTCCTCAGGTCTTAGGCTCTGGAGTGGCTAGGATTAGAGGTGTGAGCCAGTGGGTACCCAGCTACACTCAGATCTTTTGAGAGCTGTTTGCAAG